TTTACAGGAACAGCCTATTGATAATAATTCTGATGTGGCATATATTATAACAATCATTATTATAGGTAAGCAAAGTTAATTGTTCAAATTTATTTTACAATTTTTCTTCAGCTATAACTTTTACTTTGCTGGTGATTATTTTGATATCTGTTCTTGTGATCATCAAACGTAAAAAGACAAACCAATCAAAATTTGACTGGTTTGTCTTAAAAGCAGATATCTTTGATGGAGTCAACAAAGATAATCCATTGTATGATGATAATTTTGATCAAGAGAATTTTTCTGATCAATTATACTGACATACATTGAATATATAATACTTCACAGTTTTACAAAGCTGAACTCTAAAAGTGTTTATTTGTTATTAAAATGTGTATTATGATAATAAATATTTAAGTACACATGTACCAGTAAGTTAATTACCCCGGTAGATCTAAAATTAAATTCATGCATCAGTTTGTCAAAAAGATATTCACTGCTGTTGTATTGGTGCTCTTTTTGAATGACCTAATGAATTCCATTTATAAAGTATAGATTACTTCTCAGGAGATGAATAAAGGTGCCTCGCCTTATACTATCAGGAGATAAAGAGAAAACAACTCTTCTTGTGTTCCTGACAATGAAGCTATTGACTTTGTTTAGTGTTGTGTTGCTACTGATTACTCTATCTGGTTAGTTATCGTGTCTCTTGTCATTTTTTCCAAGTGCCATGCACTAAGTGATCTTTAGAAGTTTATATTACTGTGTATAACCTATCTTTCATGTATTGTGTGTGACATATGCCTTGTCATTAGAAGACTTAGTAGACTTTACATGTATTGATTGCCATGATGGACTTTACTTATTTAGATTTGGTTATATCTGATAGCTGTGATGGCTGCTGTGGTGATAGTGATGGTGATGGACAAGGCATTTTTAGCTAGTTGTATAAGCTGCATGGGTGAGACTATCACTTGCATAGATATTGATGAGTGTGCATATGAAAATGGAGGATGTGAACACAACTGCACTAATACAAATAGTTCTTACTATTGTTCATGTTTCACTGGATACAGGCTGTACAAGAAAAAGTTTTGTTCAGGTTATTGAAACTAAATTTCTGAACTGGCACATTTATTAGTTTTATCATGTGCTATTAACTTACAATTATTTTTAACAGATATTGATGAATGCAGTGAAGGTATATCAGGTTGTAATCAGTTATGTTCTAATACTCTTGGAAGCTACACTTGCAGTTGTCACAATGGATATGAACTGGAAATGGATAATCATACCTGTATTGATATTGATGAATGTCTTACCAATAATGGAGGATGTGATCATACTTGTGTGAATACTAATGGTAGCTACTATTGCCAGTGTAACTACAGTTATGTGTTAAATCATAACAGACATCAGTGTGATGGTAAGTAGATATATTATCTATATAAATCCAAGTATTTTTAAAGATGTCAATGAATGTGCTAATGGTAACAATGCATGTAACCAGAAATGTATCAATACTATTGGATCATACTACTGTGACTGTTACACTGGATATCATCTTATAAGCAATCAAAGATACTGCATAGACACTAATGAGTGCTCAACAAATAATGGTGGCTGTCAGCAGCGCTGCTATAACACTGATGGGAGCTATTATTGCTCTTGTTGGTCGGGATACTATTGGAATGCTACAACGAACAGATGTGAAGGTACAACTGTTGTGTAATGTGTTTAAATTTACTTTGGTAAAAGATAAGGATGAATGCTCTCCAAATTGGAGCAATAGGTGTGAGCAAAATTGTCACAACAGGAATGGATGGTACTATTGTAGTTGCAGACCTGGATACAGGTTACGCTACAGCTACTATTGCTACAACATTGATGAGTGTCAAAATAACAATGGCGGGTGTGAACAACGTTGTATAGATAATACTGGATCTTATTACTGTGATTGCAATGTAACTGGCTATGCTCTTGATGGAGATAATCATGGATGCTCACGTTAGTATAAAGTCTTTACTGTAGTAAAATTAATTGATCTGTATAGGAAATTGTAGCACTGATCCTCTGGTCTGCCAGCAAGTTTGTCATAGTCAAAATGACCTCTTAAATTGTTCATGTTATCCTGGCTACAGATTAACTGATGATGGAAGAACTTGTGAAAGTAAATTGTATTTTATTATTATATTAATATTGTGGTCTGGTTATAGAGATATATCTATGTTCAGAAAATGCAACAAACTGTAATCAAATTTGTACTAATACAAATAATAGTTTTATTTGTTCGTGTAATGATGGCTATGAGCTATCAAGTGACAATGCTACATGTCAGGGTAATGCATACATCATAAAGGTTACAATTAAGAATCATAAGTTTCTTATAGATATTAATGAGTGTATTAACAGTGACTGTGAACATAACTGTACCAATACTGATGGAAGTTACACTTGTTCATGTTATAGTGGCTACTCATTAGATAGTGATGGGAGAAGCTGTTCAGGTATTAACTAATGTTTTGCTTGACTATAATAATACTGATTATAGACATTAATGAGTGCCTTAATGAAAATGGAGGTTGTCAACAAAAATGCACTAATCAAAATGGTTCTTTTGAATGTTCATGCAATAATGGCTATGCATTAGAAAACAAGAAG